GTCCCTCCAGACAGCAGCTATTGAAGTGGGTTATAGGGCTGCAGCAAGAAGAGAATTTGACCAAAACGAGAAAATAAATTGCTCAGTCTGGGGAAAAGAGGAGAAATTGGAAGTCAAAGCAAAACAAAAGGCAAGACAAGAAAGGAAGAAAATTGTCAATCCATATTTTGATTTTATACATGTGTACCTAAATATATACATACAAGCTTAAGACCACAATTCACCAAGCAGAATGTGCACCCATCTCGATTCACATGCAAACGATCATCCCTAGACTGCTCCCAGTGTGACATTGGCTAGAAGATGTGTGAAGGTGACAGATGGAGTGTACCAAGGAGTTCAGAAATAGCACAAGATTTTTAGATGGGAGAACACTAGCATAAACAAACGTCTCCCTCCTTTTTCCAGCACATTTTAACCATTGACATTACTTATTCAGACATTAAAGAAGCCGAAGCTTTAAATGCAGGCAACATAATACATGAGCTAAGTTACAGAATCTTTTGTTCTTTCCAGGGCAAATTTTGAGGGCCTAGGAACAGCCCAAATGCTTACGAGTGTCATACAAAGATGCTAGTGGATACCACCTGGCCCTGCCTGAGCACCCTACAGGAAACCAACATTTCAGTGCGACAAAGTCAGGGAAGGATGCAAGAGCAAGATTTGAGTGATCCACCCAATAGAAAAGTTAAGTTTGTGCTAATGACAGCTGGCCAGTGGGGACAGCCAACCCCTCAACAGATCCTACCAGCCAAATAGAAATCAATCTGGCAGCAGGATTTCCAGACTGAAAAAACAAACAAACAAACAAAAATCAGAAAACAATGTCACCTTCTGTTACCCAGAGGAAAGAGCAGCACCTGGTGCACCAGAAGAAAGGAAAGAGGCTGGCCCATGACTGTCTGTCCAGTTTTTACAGTCACTGCCATGGAAAATGCTAAAAAACTGTAAGGGTCCTCACACCAAGAGGCTCCCTCCCTTTCCCTGCCCTGGATTTGGCTCCATGTGTTCAAGGCCATCTACAGTATGGTGCAGACACATGATCCTGGCTCAGCCCAGGAAAACAGCTAAGTCATGCAGAAGAACAATGAGAAGCCTCATCAAGACCTCTATCCACCTTTTTTGCTCAGCAGGTGCATTTCAGCTCTGGCTCTTGCCCTAGGTTCCTGCTTGAGTTACACTGCTGGCCATGTACCC